CCATGGACATTGCATCAGTCTCTTGTGTGCAAGTTTGGTAACACTTAGTCTCAGCTAGCTTTTTGAGATTCATGGACGAGGGCTCTCAAATCCCACTGTTTGTTAGCTTTCTGCAGTGTTTCTCCATTCAAATAATAATCAGTTCTTCCTTCTGCCATAATGTATAACCTCGCATTTCCCACATCATATTCAATCTACCAAGTTTATTCCACTCAACCTAACCTTGTCCCTCTATAGACTTTTTGTGTCATCCTCCCCACTTGTCTTCCCTCCTTTTTTTGTTCCATCTGCAAATTTGGCTATAGTAAATTCACCTTCCTAATCCAAACCATGAATTTATTTTGTAAATAATTGTGACCCTTGCACTGATCCTTGTAGCACTCCACTAATCCTGAAAGTGTGCTCCTTATTCCAACTCTGTCTTCTATTCGTTAGCGAATCCTCTATCCATGCTAATACACTAACTGCAACACCATGGGCTTTTACCTTATTAAATAGCCTAATGTGTGGTACATTATCGGTGCCTTCTGAATATCCAAATACATTACATTCACTGCTTCCCCTTCCTCTATCCTGCTTGTTAACTCCTGGAAGAATTCTAGTAAAATTGTCAGGCATGATTTTCCCTTCACAAAGCCATGATGATTCTGCTTGATCATATAGCAGAGCATTTCAAATGCATAATTACTTCCTTCATAATAGACTCTAATATTTTCCCAGTAACAGGTGTTAAACTTCTGGTCTGATTATTGTCTCTTCCTACTTTTAAATAAAAGTGTTACGTTGGCAGTTTTGTAATCTTCTAGAACCTGTGCAGGATCTAGGATTCCTGGAAAGTTATTAGCAGTACATCCATTATCTCTATAGCTACTTCCTTTAATATCCTAGGATGCAACCCATCAGGCCCCAGGGGACTTATCAGTCTTTAGCCCCATTAATTTCCCTAACACTTCTCAGTAGTGAGAGTTATTGTATTTATTTCCTGTCCTTTTACACCCTGAATATTTAGGATTTTGCGATGCGATTAGTGTTTTGTCCTGTGAAGTATTTACTAGACTCTACTGCCATTTCCTGGTTCTCTATTATTATTTCCCCAGTTTCATTGTCTATGGGGGTGTTCATTTTGGCTGTTGTTTTCCTTTTTATATACTTAAAGAAATTCTTGCTATCTATCTTGATATTACTTGCAATTTTGCATGCAATGTTTATTTTCTCCCCTTTTGTTCTTTTTGGTCATCTTTTGTTGGTTTTGAAGGCAGTTACTAAGAAAGGACAATAACATTTGGATTATTATTGAAAGATGATTGGATTGCAAGAATAAAAATTCCTTCCTGCAGTTACAAAGGAATACCATGTGCAGTTATGATTCGTATACATAAAAATGACCATAACCCCGAGGTATGTTCACCATGTAGCCAGTGAACCAAAAGAATAAAGCTAGTTTCGTCTCCTTTTTAATTTGCATGATTCAAATTATTTGACCAGTTGTCCAGGTTTGTTTATTTAAACAGGATAAAGGTTAGTTTATTCATTGCCATTACCAAAGTTACCGTGTGATAAAGTTATTAACGAAATTGCAGATGCCAAGATTAAAACAAGTACACGTAGTACAACAGCGAGAAAGTCATAGTTCCACTTGAAGTCAGGCCCAGTAGCTGTGATGGCTTCTGTAGTTGGACAGTTTGTGTTTTCTTGCAGAAGTGGACCAGCAAGACAGTAGATTTTGGGAAGGAGAGAAGTTTCCTTTTTCTCTGGTTTCAGCGCTTTCAAACTGACTTTCCTTCAAGAGAAAAGCATTCAATTCATCACCTACCGTGTGGAAGCAGGCCATTCGGCCCATCGAGTCCACACCGATGCTCTGAACACCATCCCACCCAGACGTGCCCCCCCACCAACCCTATTTCCCATGACTAATTCACCTAGCCTGCACATCCCTGGACCCTATCAGCAATTTAGCATGGCTGATCCACCTAACCTGCGTATCTTTGCACTGATGGAAGAAACCAGAGCACCCGGAGAAAGCCTGTGCCGACACAGGGAGAATGTGCAAACTCCGCACAGACAGTCACCCGTGGACAGAGTTGAACCCGGGCCCCTGGTGCTGTGAGGCAGCAGCGCTAACCACTGAGCCACGGTGCCATTCTCTGTAAGCCTTTTCTCTTTGTGTTCTCTCGATCGAATCTCCCTCTCTGAAGGTAGATCTCAAACTGCCTTTGGTCTTAACCTTTTATTTTTACACTTCAAAAACTCAACATGGCGGTAATTTTGAGGAATCAAGTGTTCCAAAAAGCGAAGAGGTAAATTACACTGAACCCCTTTCTAAAGTTCTTTCTCCTGCCTGTTTGATATATTTCCAAGGATGCTGAGGTGAACTTGTAGATGCTGTTCCCATATGTCTGCTGTCCTTGTCTTTCCTGATTGCAGTGGTCATGGGTTTGGAAACTGCTGTCTGGTTTGCCAGGTGAAATGTGGTGGCATCTAAGAAACCAACGCTTTCCTCGTGTGTTGTGGCTTTAAGCTTAATTGAAGGTTGATTTATTTTTGAGGATATCGATGAGTTCTTCTAATTCTGCTCTTGTGCAAGTCCAAATATGTGAGTGAAATACAGAAGGTAATGTTACAATTTGACTACATCATCGAATAAATTAGTTGGTGAGAATGAAGAAAAAGTCCCTGAAAATCAAAAAGTAGCTCTCAAGAAAACCTCAGTCTTCAGGGTGACGGTGTATATTGTGTGCCCTGCTGCAAGCTCCTCATGATTTTAAAGAGCTCTGTTAAACCTCTTCTCAACTTGCTTGAAGCGAGGTAATGTACTTTTTTGGTCTTCTGAGCTGAACCTGCTAATCTGCCAATGTCTTTGTTTTTGCCTAATTGCCAACCACTCGTAAGTTAATGGTAAATTTTTATAATGCCACGCTCCAAGCATCAGTTTGTGTTCACTCTGTGACCTGATTACCCGATGATTCTTCACTTTTCTAAGATGCGTGGTCAGTGAGGTGTAAAAGGTCTGACTTTATTGGGAGTTTAGAATCTTAACTTAAGATTTCTACACAAAGAGAAAAATAACTTGTATAAAGTGCTAATTGATTTGATTAGTGAATATAAAGTAGTTATAGTAACAATTAGAAATGTGCTCAGGATACTAGCTCAAAAGAGAGGCAAATTAAAAAGAAATCATTTCGTTATTCGAGCATTTAATTAGTTTACAGCAAAAATGTAAGCATCTGAAACAGAGAGGTGATGGATCATTAGTCTAATAATCCAGAGAGCCAGGTAATGTTCTGAGGAGCTGGGCTTGAATTCCACTGTTGAGGACGATGAATTTGAACTCAATAAAAAATTAAGAGTCTAATAATGAGCGTGAAATCAATCGCAGTTGTTGGAAAAATCCATCTGGTTTCACTTTCTTCAGGGAAGAAAATCTACAATACTTACCTGGCCTGGCCTATGTGTGACTCCAGATGCACAGCAGACTCTTAACATGCCTGAGTATTTGCCGTCAGTTGTATTAACCACTAGAAAGGAAAAAAGAAATGAAACTGACAGATCGCCCAGTATCGACCTAGACACCGGAAACAACAATGGCAAGAAGTATCAATCATGTGGATCTTGTCAAGTCTTCCTTATTCATGACTTACTAACTGCCTGATGTGGAATCAGACCTTGCGGACAATGTCTCAGACACCACCTTCACTATCTCTGGATATATTCTGTCTCACCAGCAGGACAGGCCAAGTAGAGGTGGCAGCACAGTGGTGTACAATTGGGAAGGAGTTGCCCTGGGAGTGCTCAACATTGACTGTGGACACCATGATGTCTATGGCATCAGGTCAGACATGGACAAGGAATGTTTCTAAATGTTGTTCAACGTGGAGGATGCATTGAAGGTGCAAAGATGTAAGTTCTACTCTGGGTGGAAGATTTCAGTGTCCACCACCAAGAGTGGCTTCGCAGCAGCATAACTGATTGAGTTGGTCTGGTCCTAAAGGACATGGCTGTTAGTGTGGGTCTGCAACAGGTGGTGAGGGAACCGACGTAAGGGAAAAATAGCCTTGACCTCATCACCTCATCCTCACCAATCTGCCTGCCACAGATGCGTCTGTCGATGACAGTATTGGTAAGAGTAACCACCGCACAGTCTTTGTGGAGACGAAGTTCTGTCTTCACATTGAGAATACCCTCTGTAGTGTTGTGTGGGACAGACTTTGAACAGATTTTACAACTCTGGGCATCCCTGAGGCACTGTGGGTCATCAGTAGCAGTAGAATTGTACACATTTGACCGACTGTGGCATCAAGGACCCCAAGCAAAACGAATCGGGGAAAACTCTGCTGGTTGGAGTCAAACATGACACATACAAAGATGGTTGTGATTGTAGGAGGTCAGTCATCTCAGCACCAGGACATCTCTGCAGGAGTTCCTCAAGGTAGTGTCGTTGGCCTAATCACCTTCAGCTGTTTCATCAATGACCTTCCCTCCATCTTATGTCGGTCGATGATTGTACAATGTTCAGCACCATTCGTGATTCTTCAGTAACTGAAGCAGCCCATGTCTAAATTCAGCAAAACCTGGACAATATTGAGCTTCTGGTGGCAAGTAAAATTGGTGCCACAAAAATGCCATGCAATGACTACTTCCATTAAGAGGCAATCTAACCATTGTCCTTTGACATTCAATGGCATTACCATCATTGAATCCTCCACTACCAACATTCTGAAGGTTATCATTGATCAGAAACTTAACTGATTCACCATATAGATACAGCAATTGCAAGAGCAGATACAAGGCTAAGAATACTGCTGCAACTAATTCACCAGCTGACTCCCCAAAGCCTGTTCACCATTTGGAAGGAATGGGATGGAATACATCCTAATTGCCTGGATGAGTGCCGCTCCATCACAACTCAGAAACTTGACAGCATCCAGAACAAAGCAGCTTGCTTGATTGGCATCCCATCCGTAAACATCCACTCCTTTCTCCACTGATGCTCAGTAGCAGCAGTGTCTACTATCGACAAAGTGGACTGCAGATATTCACTAAAGATCTTTATGCAGCGCATTCCAAACCATGATCAGTTCCGTCTTGAAGAACAAGGGGAGCAGCTACATCTTGACTCGGAAATATATCACCATTCCTTCTATGTTACGGGATCAAATTCTGGAATTCTCGTCCTTAAGGCATTGTGAATTATCTACAGTTCATGGGCTTCAAAAGTTCAAGAAGGCAGCTCATTGCCATCTTCTCAAGGACAACTAGGGATGACAGTAAATGCTGGCCTAGCCAGTGTCACTCATGTCCCTTGGATTAATATGTGTGTATGTGTATGTAATATATGTGGATAATCTTTACAGGGCAGCACAGTGGCTCAGTGGTTAGCACTGCTGCCTCACAGCACCAGGGACCCGGATTCGATTCTAGGCTCAGGTGACTGTCTGTGTGGGGTTTGCACATTCTCCCTGTGTCTGCGTGGGTTTCCTCCGGGTGCTCCGGTTTCATCCCACAGTCCAAAGATGTGCAGGCTGGGTGGATTGGCCATGCTAAATTGCCCGTAGTGTCTAGGGCTGTTTGGGTTAGACAAGGGAAATGTAGGGGATTGGGTCTGGGTGGGATGTTCTTCAGAGGGGCGGTGTGGACTTGTTGGGCCGAATGGCCTGTTTCCACACTGTAGGGATTCTATGGTTTTTACAGTTTAGGTGAATATTAGAGGGGCTGGGTCAGAAGTAGTTAGACAAATAGTGGTGAAATGACATATACTTTCTTAACTGCTGCATAGAACATTATAGAAATAGATTGTAGAAGTAAAAACATTTCTGTTAATTTACCTAGCCAGAGTCTGGAATGCTTCACAGTTCAGCTGCAAAGTCATCGGTAAGTAAAGAATTTCCTTTATAGTTGAGTTTGTAAGATTAAGCATTAAAGGAGAAAGCCCTTGAGACACACAGGCCAACCTGGATTTGGAGCTCTCGTCTCTAACTGGAGTCTCTTTAGACTTGATATTGAACTCGGCGTCTAACATCCCTGGAGAGTTCTTTCTCAATTCCTGGCTGGTAGTAATTTATTTAACGAATATCACTAAAACAAATTGTGTTCTGCTGTATGTAAATTGGCTGCTACACTGCATTGCTGCAACCGTTGTACGTGCCTGAAAGTCCTTCAAACAATTGCTTGGTAGTACAGATCATAATTCTTACTGTGCAACATAATGATTTGGATTGCTATATCGTAGGGTACAAATTTCAAAAGGAGCAGCTTTTTGTACTGCATGAGGAAAGGATGCTGATGGGTTGGCAAGTGGTCTCTAGTTGAAATGTTATCATGAAGAATGCACCAGTGACGTTTTTGTGTGATGCAAAATGGCACAACGCCTGGAAATATTCTTTTGGTTTACAGAGGACTGGGACCTGCTTATGCATGTACGAAGCAAGTCGGTGTGAGCCATGTTGCAAGCATGGCTGATGGTTTTACATTGGTTGTTGGCAGGATTCTTATCACCCCCAGAATTGTTCAGTAAGTGGTGTTGAATGTAGAACTTGAAATATAGCCTCTAAAGTTAGATGTGATTCTGCGGTTACATTGTTCAGCAAATTCTATCTGGAGTGTGCAAAGAATCGTATCAACAAACAATCTCACCTACAATGTGGCTCATTTGCATTTGCTAGAGGCTACATTTATTCCTACTCAGGTGCCAGTCCTCCTCAAGCCAAATGGTTATGCTCAGACATTGTGCAATTTTCAATTCAAGACAATTATGAGGATTCCCATTTCCTGATGCATTCTCCATGGCAACACCTCCAACTGATCAACACCTTGTACCATGTGGTATAAATTGCTGTTCCCTTTGAGAGTTGCTATTTCTGCATCTATCATGATGAATGGAAGAAGAAAAGCTTTAACTAAGAATAAATAAATGATGGGGCATGAACTGAAGAATGAAAATTAATTGGATATAACTAGTTGACACAGAGTGGTGAAGTTTGGAATGGACTGCTAATGAAACCAGTTGAATCAGTAATTTGAGAGAAAAGAAAACCGGAAGAATTGTAGATGCTGGAAAGCAGAAACAAAAACAGAAATTGCCAGAAAAGCTCAGCAGGTCTGGCAGCATCTGTGGAGAGAAATCAGAGTTAACGTTTTGGGTCCGATGGCCTTCCTCAGAACTGGAGTAATTTAAGAGATTTGGGCACACATTTGGCAAAAAGATTCAGTGTAGGAGATCTGTCCTGCTGGTGAACTGTGAGCCTGCTTATTGATCCAAAATGGATCTTAGGCTCCAGTTACCTTTCAGTGTTCTTGTGGGCAGTTCTTCACCACATGGAATAATCTTGGAGCACTTAGCCTGTTACAGGAGCTGTTTAAATACTATTCCCTGAGGCAAGGGTTCTTGCAAGGTCCAAAATGGCTTAAAAGTTGATTACAGAAAAATTCAATTTAAATTGTTAACCCTTTGTCATAACTACTTCTTTGTCTTATATGGGCAATACTGACATCCATCAGCACGATCACTGTGCTTGTGCTGTAAAATTTTTCAAAGATTGTGAATATTTATTCCATAGTCTAAATTCTGTGTAACTTCTCTTGAGATGTGCTCTCAGTTCTGTAACCAGACTTAATATTTGGTGTTCCCACAGTTGCAACAAAGCCTTTGCCAGCTGAAAGTTTCCACAATATGTTGGTTGAGAAAACTTGGCATGGGAACCTTTTTAATGTGTCCCTGATTGGATAATAGCTTGCTTAAACCAAACCAGTGTTTCTGTTCAAGTCTCTTTACATTTGTTTCATTTATTCATGGGATGAGAGTGTTGCTTGGCCAAAATTTATTGTCCATCTCTAATTGCCCAGAAGGCAGTTAAGGAGGAACACATTGCTGTCGGTCAGGGGTCGCATGTAGACCAGACCAGACCAGGGCAGGACAGCAGATCCCTTTTCCTAAAGGGTGCTTAGAGAACCAGGTGGGGATTTTTTGACAATCAATTATGGTTACCTGGTTGTGTTAAACTAGCTTTTATTGTAAAATCCCAGATTTTTAAAATGGAATTTAAGTTTCACCATCAAATTTCACCATTTGCAGTGGTGAGACTCAAACCCATCACGTCTCCATAATGTTAGAGGTTCTGTATTGCTAGTCATGGCTGACATTGCCGTTACATCACACCTTTCTGAAATTTAAGAAACATTCCTGAAAACACAACTGATAACAGCTGCTGTCTGATCCCAATGCCAACCTACTCTCTTAAAGAATCAAAGCTCAGGAGCAAGTAGCAGTTTTAGGTGTTCCAAGCCTGTAGCTCTTTGCCCAAATGGCCAAAAGACTTGACTACGATTGTAGGAAGGTTTTTTGACTGGAAATGTGTCACAACTGAGTTTAGACTTCTCCCCACTGCAGATAGACAGTGCATCTCTGCCTGCCTGTTTCTTCGGTCGCTCTCATTTTCTCCCTCTTTTTCGTAAAGAAGAAACAGAGGCGCATGATACTGGCATCAGGATGGGTCGGACGTTTGTGGCTATATCCTCAGCCCCAGAGCTCCTTCGGCCAGCTCTGGTATAGCTGCTGAGGTCAATTATTGGGCCTTGATGATCAGCATGACCCAATATTGTACCAGACAACGCCTTTACCTTGCACATTGCTGCCGTGTTCAGTATTGAGGCTGTCTGCCAGCTGGTTAGCACTCATTCGTTGGACATGAAGGCTGCCCTTTTGTTCATCTCTCATGACCCTTATACACATTGAGATGAGTGAGATAGAGCAGTGACTGCTTTCAAAACAACAGAAAGAGAATCCTTTTGTACGACTTTGCTGAGGAATCCATTTGACCCATTGCTGTTGTCCCAAGTGGAGTTAAATAACACAGGTTGGAATTTTGGACTTTATGTTACTTGTATTAGAAACCTGCATCCTAGTCCTAACTTGAGTGGTGCAGCCAACTCTTCACCAGAAATGAGAACCGCTGGTGTTTTCAGTGAAATTTTTGTTTCAAACTTAAAATAGGTGAATTCAATTAATTTACTGAAACATGATGACTAATGGGCAGCAAGTTTACAGGCCTCATCTGTGTCTGAGGTGGCTGTGCTTATTAAAACAGGGTTAAAAAATGAGAGACTGTGAACTGTAGGGAAGCATGGAAGCTGAATCGGCACTTGTTCGTTCTGTAGCAACACTTCGAACAATAGGTTGTGTTTGTGTAGTGCCTTTGGCATGATAAAAGACCCAAGGCGCTTGATAGAAATGCAACAAAGCAGCATTTTTTCACTCACAGGATGTGTATGCCTGTGGCTAAGCCAGCATTTATTGCCCATCTCTAATTCGAGTCAACCACATTACTGTGGGTCTGGAATCATGTAGGCCAGACCAGGTAAGGATGACAGATTTCCTTCGTTAAAGGGCATTAGTGAACCAGATGGGTTTGTTTTGACAATCGACAATGAATTCATGGTCATCATTAGACCCTTAATTCCAGAGTTTCGTTTTTATTGAATTCAAATTCTACCATCTGCCATGGCAGGATTTGAACTGATATTCCCAGAACATTAGCTGAGTTTCTGGCTTAATAAGTAGCGATAATACCATTAGGCCATTGCTCTCCATTTTACATTACATATGGAGATACTGGGGTCGATGACCAAAGGCTGGGTACATTTTAAAGAGCATGTTAAAGGAGGAAAGAGAAATGGTGAGGCAGAGAGGTGTACGGAGAGAGATACAGAGAGCCTGAGACTCAGGCAGCTGAAGGCATGGCTGCCAAGTGGTGAGATGATGAAAATCAATAAAGCTAACAAAGGCATAAATGTGTCTTTTCAGCAACAGATATATGGTTAGGCAGAGGCATAATCAGATTTTCCACTGGATAGTGATCCTATCCTTTAATAACACTCTCCCAGCCTGAGGAGAGAGTGAGACCATGCTACCAAACCTTACAGCTGACTTGGCTGTCCACCGTCAAGAGATCAAACAGGGAGCTTCATGTTTTATTTGTGCAAAAGTAAGGAAGTCAAGTGAACTGTACATTAAGGTGATGAGCCACATAGTTGGAGATCTTTGAATCACCCAAGAAATACATGGAGCCATCACCAGCATATGAAGTATGGTATGCACTGGAAGAACTACTTTGAATTGCTGTCTAAGTGGAATTCAAATGTGCCGGCTTGTGGAATGCTATCTCCATTGGATATAACTCTGAAGTAGCTCAGGTTGTATTCTTCAGAAAAGTGATTCTTCAGAAAAAAAAGTACAGTTTTGTTTCATTGACTGTTTAAGTATCCTTGACATTGTGTTGCTTTAAACGAGGAGTGCAGCTTTGGATTATAGTTTGTGAAAGAGCTGAACGTCACATTTATGCTTTTATTTTTCGGCCTTCATTTGAATTCTGAATTCATTAGTTGTACACAATTTGTTTTTTCAGATGATGGGAGTAATTCTGGGGGCTGGAGTGGCAGTTGTGCTGATTGCCACCACCATCCTCATTGTACACAGACGATTACAAGAGAGAAGTAAGTGAAACTATACTGAAAAACTGTTGCAGCTCGTGGGCATTCCACAACTATTGGTCAATGTGTTCTCAGCCCTGTACTCCATATCTAACATTGTGGGTAAATGTTCCTGTTGTCCCCCCAACTCCCTGCTCTTTACTTTTTTTGAGTTTAAATAAAATCCTCAGCTCAGTAATCGGGGTATTTTGGTGACAAATCCTCCATTTACATGCGGAATGTACAGATGCGGCGTGGTGGCTCAGTGGTTAACACTGCTGCCTCACAGCACCAGGAACCCGGGTTTGATTTCACCCTTGGGTGACTCTCTGCATGGAGTTTGTGCGTTCTCCCCGTGTCTGCATGGGTTTCTTCCGGGTGCTCTGTTTTCCTCCCACAGTCCAAAGATATGCACGCCAGGTGGATTGGCCATGCTAAATTGCCCATAGTGTTCAGGGAGGTGTAGGTTAGGTGGGTTATAGGGGGATGGCTCTCGGTGGGATGCTCTGAGGGTCGGTGTGGACTTGTTGGGCTGAAGGGCCTGTTTCCACACTGTAGGGATTCTATGATCTGATCTATGATTGTATGATGATGATATACCACTGGAGGAGCAGGTGATTCTTAGGATGCTATCATATGCATTGCTAGCAGTTCCGAGTGAAGTTAAAACTGCTGGCCATTCTTGAATATCCAAAAAGGTTTGTATTCCTTTGAAAAAATGAATGCTGTGTGCGCAATATCTCTTTGTCAGCCTTGGCTCAGGGAGAGCACTGATTCAGTGGGCTATGAATTCTTGCTTGCCTCCAGAGACACCTCGGTATATCATGTAGACATCAGCTCTTCTGACTCAGACAAGAAGGCTACAGTTGAGCCAAGACTGACCACAGAAAGCAGAAATATTTAATGAACCTTTTATGGACTGGAAAATTTCACAACTTTAATTCACTATTCAAAAGATGTTAAAGATCTAAGTTTAAAACTGTGAAATGACAATGGTTTCCAAATGATTGGGAGGAAATGGCTTACATTGATATCTCTGCTGTTGATAAGGTGGATTAGCAATTGGGGGGAAAATGAGGCAGAAATTGGAAATGCCTACCAGAGGCTTCTTTTACAGGAGTTACTTGTTAATCTTGGCTTTCAAATTCTAAGCAATTGGAACATGAGTAACGTTCCCTTTTGCACCAGCCTTGCAACTGGACAAGTCACAAGCTACTACCCTGTTCACTGCATTCTACCTGAACAACATTTTTTCATTCTCCACCTTCATTTAATATTTACTAATTCAATTCAGTTGGAATTTAAGTCTACCATGTTGACCCCCTACTTTTTTCACCTTTCCTTTCAATCTCTCTGTGTCTCTCATTATTTTGGAGGCAGAATTAATACAGTCAGTGAACTATGCTAACAAGATAAGTGAGAGAAGCTGGTACGTTATCTCAAAGTCATGCCCCTTAGGAAGAAGAACAGCATTTTAAAACCGATCTGCGATTATTCTGAATCCTTACTACTTTTGGTAGAAAAAAACATTATTTTGTCACAGTAAATACGGGAGACCAACACCTAGGGGAAATCCAAAATGCAGCTGGTTGAATTGGAGTAGTGTTGAGATGAACTGCAAGAACCTATTGACCACTTCTTCTAATCTTCCTCCTTGTCTGGGCTGATTCTGATTTTTTTTACACTGCTTTGGTTATATTTTCCATCTTCAGACATTTGTCCCATACCTGCATCTAAGGCTGTCAAACCACGGGATGGTTACATCAGCCCATTATGTCCATACTCTTCTCAAGTGTAAATCAGTAAGTCCCATTCTCATGCACTTTCTCTGTAGCTCTGCAGTTCAATAGAGTCATAGAATTGTACAGCATGGAAATAGACCCTTCAGTCCAATTCGTCCATGCTAACCAGATATCCTAAATAAACCTAGTCCCATTGCCAGCATTTGGCCCATATCCATCTCAACCCTTCCTATTCATATACCCATCCCAATGCCTTTTAAATGTTGTAATTGTATTAGCCTTCACCACTTCCTCTGGCAGCTCATTCCATATACACAGCACTCTCTGCGTGATAAGTTTGTCCTATAGGTCCCTTTTAAATCTTTCCCCACTCACCTTAAACCTATGCCCTCTAGTTTTGAACTCCCCTACCCTGGGAAGAAGACCTTGTCTATTCACCCTATCCATGCCCCTCATGATTTTATAAACCTTTATAAGGTCACCCCTCAACCTCTAGTGCTCCAGAGAACATAGCCCCAGTCTATAGCTCAAACCCTCTAGCCCCAGCAACATCCTTGTAAATCTTTTCTGCACTCTCTCAAATTTAACAAATCTTTCCAAAGCAGTGAGTCCAGAAATGAGCACAGTATTCCAAAAGTGGCCTAACCAAAGTCCTGTACAGCCATAACGTAACCTCCCAACTCCTATACTCAATGCGCTGACCAATAAAAGCAAGTGTACCAAACGCTTTCTTCGCTACCCTGTCTACTTGTGCCTCCACCTTCAAGAACCATGAACCTACATCCAAAAGTGTCTTTGTTCAGCAACACTCCTCAGGACCCTACTATTAAGAGTATAAGTTCTACCCTGATTTGCCTCTGCAAAATGTAACGCCTTCCATTTATCTAAATTAAACTCCAACTGCTGCTCTTCAGCCCATCAGTCCATCTGATCAAGGTCCTGTTGTACTCTGAGGTAACCACCTTTGCCGTCCATTACACTACCAATTTTGGTGTCATCTGCAAACTTACTAACTACTCCACCTATATTCACATCCAAATCACTTAAATAAATGACAAAAAGCAGTGGACCCAGCACCGATGGTTGTATCACATTGCTGGTCACAGGCTTCCAGTCTGAAAAGCAACCCTCCACCACCACCTTCTGTCTCCTACCTCCGAGCCAATTTTGTATCCAAGTGGCTAGCTCTCCCTGGATTCCATATGATCTAACCTTGCTGAGCAGTCTATCATGTGGAAACTTATCCAATTCCCTTTTGAAAGCCCTGATTGTATTTGGTTCTTTGACAGTACATTTTGGACCTGTACCATTTGCAGTGTAAGTAAAGGCCTGCCTCATGTTGCCATTGATTCATTTTAAATCCATTTTAAAGTCGGCCATTCAGTTGGTTGGAGCCATCAACAATCTGACTGCTCTGTCCAGACCTCTGATTCTGACTACCTGTATAAAATCTCTTCTCAGCCTTCTCTTTTCCAAGGCAAACAGGCCCAGCTTCTCCAATCTCTCCAAGTAATTAAAGCCCCTCATCTGTGGAATCATTCTTGTAATTCTTTCCAGCAGCTCTTTTTCAAGTGCTTCATACCCTTCTTGAATTGCTTTGTCCAGAATTGGACAAAGTACCCAACTGAGAATAAACTAGAGTCATATCAAATTCTTAACTTCCTTACTTCCTTACTTTTGGTGAGTTACTGCATCTTGTAGATGCTACCAGTGTGTGTTAGTGATGAAGGGAGTAAGGTTGTTATGTCCTGGATGGTGCTGAGCTTCTTGCGTGTTGTCGGAACTCGACCCATTCAGGAAATTGTGTGGAGTATTCCATCATACTTTCAACATGTGCCTTGGAGATAGTGGACATGCTTTCGGGAGTCAGGAAATGAGTTATTTGCTGCAGAATTCCCAGCTTCTGACGTGCTCTCATCATGTTTATAAAGCTGGCCCATTTCTGTTGCATGTACACGTGCTTAAAACCCTGTTGTTATTTTGGTGGAAGCTTACTAGATGTACTGTAGTGCTCTCTGTGTCAAAAATGGTCTTTTGCCAATGTTACATGTATAGCTTCACAAGGGCTGATTTTTAGGGGCTAGATTGCTGTACAAACCATTGTTTGAACTTTGTTAGCCGCATCTACCTTGGAATGATACTTCTTTGAACTCCATACATTTCCGGTTTAGAACCGAGTCATTGCGTTATGAGCTGAATTTTTAAGTAGTTCTGATTCAGATGTTCCTTGAATAAATGAGTAGATCACAAAACTAGCTGATTTATATGATGGGAGGCATCTGCCTCCTGTAGTCTATAGTTATGCTGATTCAATAGATACGAAATACACATTTTTTCTTTGTTTATAAAAACAAGTTACTTTTGTTCAGTTTTGCAGCTTACTAATTTTTGCCTATCTGTTAGGAATTCAAGCTCAGGAAACCCCAAAATACCGATTCCGAAAACGTGACAAAGTAATGTTCTATGGACGCAAGATCATGAGGAAGGTATGAAGGACATGGCCTACCTGAGAGCAGAAGTTAAACTGCAGTGGTTGAGTGAGTGATTTTGCCAGTTGTTACGGAGAGAAATCTGCATTTCAGCTTGAACCCAGATGAATGTGGCCAGGCCAGTGGGTTTGCACTGTCAGGCGAAGTACCTCACTGGTCTTCTCGTCTGCTGTGAACACCTATAACATGGAATCATCATCTGCCAGGTCTTATCTCCCCAGCCTCTATCCCTGTCGAAACGTCTGGTGTCTAGTAGCTTGGCTGAGGCCTACGGTTTCCACTGTAGGCCATCCTTGGGGTTCAGAAAGGACATTCAATCTCACATATTGAGCAGTTGACAAGTCCCTCCTAATCCTTTGGGCCCAATGCAAGTGTGGAAGCTGGCAGTTCAGTATGGAGTTAGCTGCTGATTTGCCTTTTAAGTCGCTAAATGTTTCCAAACTCTGGTGTTCACTAAACAGGATTACAGGTTTGTCTTAGATTTCAGACCTACGTTCAGTGTTGTTAAAACTTTTATTTCACTTGATGACATTTTCTTGTTGCTCCGTACACATTGACCCTGAATGTATTTCTCTGTGGCCGTCAAGACTCCATTCTCTCGCCCTCTGAAGTAGCCATTATTCCTGTAGCTTCCATCTAAAGATGGTTGGTCAACCAGGACTTTAGACTTGAGTCTGATCCTAATGTCTGATGTTGATGCTGTGGGATAATAATGGGTAATCAGCCCCCATAGCCAACACCCCACTGCCATCCTTCCAGCCTGAGTCAACTTGTTAAAGTCCAACTGAACAATACTGTAGCCTGTCATTTAAATGTAGACCTTCCTGCTATATAGCTCAGCTGCTAGAGGGCTAAACTGAAGTCTGAACCCAGGTGTCACTGAGCTATCATCTCTGGCCCTTCTTGTTTCAGTTCAGTAAGAATGATAATTTAGTATTGCCAGGGTTAACTGTTGTATCATATATTGTGTGCTGGACAGATTCTTGGGATGAAGGGCTTCCCTTATGAGGAGAGGTTGGATAGGTACAGCCTGTATCCATTGAAGTTTAGAATGGGAGGAATCTTATTGAGACATGTAAAAACGAAGGGGACTTGACAGGTTGCATGCTAAGCACGTGATTCCCTTTGTGGGAGAGATGAAAATGAGGAATAAATAGGGAATCTTCCATTTTATACAGATGAGAGAGTTTCCCTGAGGGTTTTTGACCTGTGAAAGCTTCTTCCCCCAAGAGAACTGTGAAAACAGGGTCATTGAATATTTTTAAGGCAGAGTTAGATCGAAGGAATCGAAGGATATCAGGAATGACAGCAAAGTAGAGTTGAGAACACAATCAAATCCACTATAACCTTGTCAAATGGCAGAGCAGATTTGAGTACTGCTGTTCTGTATTTGTATGCTCAAATGGTCAGTGTGGTCTTGTATGAGCAATGTGTCTTGTGGTCACTGTCTGAATGAAGCTTCTAATATTCATATTTGTGTAAACATGTTGTCGTACCTTGCTCAGTGTGTATGAGGAAAGTTGTTCCCTCTCCATTAATGAATCAGTTTTGAAATTCCTTGTTCAATTTTGGGAATATCTGCTCAGGTGTTTAAAACTTTATTCTTTGGGCCTTGAATCTGTATTTTATCACTCCTTTTTGCTATTGAGTGTGTGGTTGCTTTAGTCTGAGTTGCACTTGCCTGTTTTCAGGTGTCACAATCCACGTATTCCTTTGTTGGAACTTCAAGACCAAGAGCAAAAAGGAAAGCGAAAATGCTGATCATTGCAAAACGGTACTGTTTTGAGTAGATACTATCTCTCTGTCTCTGTCTCCATCTCTCTCTCTCTCTCTTTCTCTATGTATATAAATATATATATGAAATCCTAGTTACTTTAGAGAGAAACATGAGCAATAATTATATTGTACAGTTTGAATAGCTGCATAGTAAATGGTACTGAACCAGCAAGATCGAGTAGCTGGGTGCCAGTGCTGTATGCTAAGTTGTGATTTTAAATTCAATCAATCTGTTTACTAATGGTTTGCAACAAAAGACTTTAAAAGCTTCCAGATTGTCTTTTAAAATCCAACTTATGTTCTGAATGTTAAATTGTGTGGTTGTTGAATGTTCCCTTTCCAACATCATGAAAGTAACCTAAATAAAATCATGGATTGTAAGCTGCATGGTGTATTTGTAACATTAACCCCTTTTAGATCGTCGTGCTGCAGATTGGGACAAGTTGTTCCAGACCTGTGCTAATGCTCAGGGTCAAGAGGTAGCTTCAGCCATTCTTTCAGTGGGCTTTGTCTGTTTTCGATTGAAATGGAGCTCAAGAGAGGTTTCTTTTCAGACCTGTGTCAATTCTATGTGTCTTTTTTTTAAACTTCCTCACAACTTGTTTGTTTCTCCCTTTCCTATCACTCACCTACACCACCTTTTCTCCTTGCTTTTCCTACTCTCTATCCCACCCATCGTGGATCCTCTTCCTTCCCTCTTGTCTGTCGTTGCCCCATATCTTTACTCAAGTTGAGTTCGCAGGTGACGGCACCTCACTCCTTCCTGAAGTCTTCCTCCCTTGCTTCCTGAAAACTGCCCCACTTAAACCACCACAACAGGAGTGTGATGTCTGTTACTGAATCACACTTTGATCCTTCTCTTAACCACTGTCTTTGAGAGGATCTCCCATGATGACTTTTCTTCCTGCCACGCACTGTTACCTTAGTTGTTCTGTTCAGGATATATACTCCTTTCAGTCCCTTTGCTCACCTACTCTTTTTTCACATACCTTCACATTTGGGTCAACTTGCATGCATGTCCCACTTCTGCTGTCCCATCAGTGATCTCAACCCCTCTACCATCCCTGTGTTGTCATACCGCTTGTCTAACATCTAGCTTTGGTTAAGAACACACTATCCTGAAGCTAAACATTGTAAAACGAAAAGTTTGTCGTCATTAGCCCTGCCACAAACTCCCTCAAGGCCAAGTCTGTCCCTTCTGCAGTTACTGTTTTAAGGTTTTCTACATTTTCTCCATTGCAAAGACTGTACCCACAGCATCATTAACTTTTGTTCCTCTCTGAACATTTGCTGATGATAGACTGTCCTTGCCATTATCACCTTCAAACTAACTGCAAAGGTTGGCTTCTCCCCTTCATCCTCTGTAATACTGCTGCCAATATTCTATCCCTTACCAAGCCCTATACACATGATCACATAAAATCACACGATACTTAAAAATCTCAACCATGTGTTTAAATCTCTTCATAGATTTGTCCCTCTCCTCCTTAGTTTATGCAATCTTCCTCTCCAAAACATCTAGACCTCTATCTCTGACCTCTTGTAAGATCTTCATTGTCTTCCTCCCATTACAGGCTACGGTGTCTTCATCTGTCCAGCTTGATGCTCTAAAACAAAATTGTTTTAAAATCTACCTACCCGTCTGATATGTTTCGGGTCAGCATCTATTTTTTATACATTTGTGAAATACCCGGGATGTTTCCTTTTTGAAAGGACACTGTTAAATGCAAAAACAAAGTACTGTGAATATTGGAAATCTGAAATGAGAACAAAACAGCCAGAAATACTTATCAGGTCAAGCAGCATGTGTGGAGGAAAACCAGTTAACATTTCAGGTGTTGATGATCTTTCATTTCACTCTAAATGCAGATCCTGTTGCAGATGCACAGCGTGTCATTGTAAAAAGAAGTTCTTGCAGATTCCCTTCCCTACCAGAATGTTTGCTTTAATTGTGAAGAAGTTAGAATGATTGACAAGTAGATTCTTTGAGATTCTCCAGCTTGGTTGTGCAACAGAAGGGAATTTTGAACCTGCATAATCTGCGTGGTTTAAACAGAAATCAACTCTGTAGCAAGTAGTATGACTGTGTTGTAATCCTCACCAGTACACTTCAGTGAGTAGGAAATTTTGAAATACTGATCAAATTGCAATTTCAATGTGGGACATTTGCCTTTGAATCATTTTGATTTTGTTGTGTTGTTTTTGTTGTTCCTGTTAACCAGCTGGGTTATGTTTTGTACTCTTGTTTATTGTTTTATGCAGAACACTGTTACTTTGGGTGATGTTGTCTTTGGCACTTTGGGTATATTGTGTTGTTTCAGGCAAGTGTGCACATTGTTTTGTTTTTGCACCATAAGTGCACAGGTGCCACTGAGGGGAGCTGCAAGCCTGAATCTCAGCAGCAGCGAAAGACTGCCAGCAATCCTGCTGAGAAAATTGTGTTGTCCTATACTGTCACTCAGGATACCCACTGGAGTGAAATTCCCCTGCACTGACCTATTTCCAGGATCTGTTAAAGGAACGTAATGTTGCCAATATTGACATTCACTATCTTTAGAGTTAACCTCGAATAATGCATGCAATGAAAACAGTGTTACAATGACCATACTTAAAAACTCTCACCTACTGTTTGTCATTGCTGGAATAAATATACCTTGTGCAGCCCTAAAGTCAGTCGATTCGTCTTTGCTGGTGTCTGCTTTGAAATGTGTTTTATAAGTGAATGCATGTACTGTTCATCCAGTTGGATTCCCTCTTAATGATGCCTGATAATTTATATTTCTTGACCAGAAGTAACCAAGCAGAGTGTTACTGCCAGGGATTGTGATTAAAACACAGCTAGTCACACATGACTGTGGTTCTGCACATAGATTGGCGGAGGATCAATCAGCTTACTATAATACCTGGTGTGAGTTTGTCAATGATTTAATTGTTCAGTAACTCTGCACCAAGGACAGTTCAACCCCTCCCCTCCCTGACCTGCTGGGGCAGGGACTGCAGCTGTGAAACTTTGCAGAAGATGCCTTTCAGGTGAGCTAGTATTTAGGAGAGACAAAAAAAAACTGCAGATGATGGAATCCAAGGTAGACAAACGAGGCTGTTAGAACACAGCAGGCCAGGCAACATCTGGAGGAAAGGAGCAGTCAATGTTTTGGGTATTACCCTTCTTCAGGAGAGTTTGTCTTTAATCCAGTGTGAGTGATTGCTGCAACCAAGTGCTGAATGTTCACTGAGTTTGTGTATTAAGGCTTATCTTTTGTGTGGTTGACCGGAATGTCAAGCAAAATAATACTGTTGTAGATATAAAAAGCCTGAATAATTCACACTATATTTTTTATGCACATAGTGCATCAAAGTCAGATGTCATTGCATTAATATCTCTCTAACAAGGTCATGCAGTCTCTGTCTCCATGTCTAAAGACATCTTTGTACCCTGCACAGGTTCTTGCACATTAATAAGGAAGTTCCGACCCTGCAGCCGAAGGAGCCCCCTCCCTCTGTTCTTGAGGCTGACCTGACTGAGTTTGATGTTGCCAGCTCTCACTTGCCCTTGGAAGTGCTGTACATGCTGAAGAACGTAAGGTAACTCCTGAAAGTACTTATCCTTTTTGTATAGGAGCACCACCAAGTGGCATTTGAGGAAAAGATAGACTTAGTTTTCATATTGGAACATAGCTGATCACAGCATGTTACATTTTGCAATCCTGCACATAGCAGAGAATTGACATGGGGTTAACCACTCTTTAACATTCCGCTGTATCAATGGAGAAGTGCAGACTACAGTATAGTGCCACATAACTGGCTTGTCAGCAAAGTTGAAGTTCATGGAACAAAGAGACAGTGGCAGCATGAATACAGAATTGGCTGAATGACAGGAAACAGCAGGCAGTGTTGTTTTTCAGGCTGGAAGGAAAATTTCTTAGGATTACTACTGCTTTTGTTAATTTGTTTTTGTTTTTAGCATTCAGTCATGGGATGTGGGCTTCGTTGTCTGGGCCAGCAGTTATTGTCCATCCCCAAATACACCCATTGTGTTGTTAGGAAGACAGTTCCAGGATTTTGATTCTGTAATAGTGAAGGAACTGCTAGTTTCAAGTCAAGTGCACAGCTTAGAAGCGAAGAAAGTGGGAGCAGGAATAGGCTATTCGGATTATCAAGCCTGTTCCTCTATTCATTGTGATCATGGCTGATCCTCTATTCATACTCCTGCTTTCTCCAGTTACCCCTTGATGCCTTTAGACTTTAGAAATTGTTCTTTCTTAACTGTATTCAGTGATTTGACTTGCACTACCTAGAGAATTCCAGAGGTTCACCACCCTGTGAATGAAGAAAATTGTCCCTTTTCTCCATCTGGAGTGGTCTGTCCCATGTCCTGAGACAGTAGTCCCTTGTTGTGGACTCCTAGCCAGGGAAAACACAGTTCCTACATCCAGTCTGTTCAGCCCTGTCAAACTTTAATGTGTGTCAATGAAATTCCCTCTCATTCTTCTAAACTCGGAAATTACAGGCCCAACTGGCCCAATTTCTCCTTCTATAATGTACCAGCCATTCCAGGAATCAGTCTGGTGAATGTTTTACTACACTCCGTACAATGCGAGTATACTTCCCCTTGGTAAGGAGACTGCATGCAATATTCCAGTTGTGGTCTCACCCAAGGCCCTGGACAACTGCCTTCCTTGTTCATGTACTGAAACCCATTTGCAATGAAGGCCAACATACCTTTTGCTTTCCCAATTGCTTGCTGCACCTGCTAGCCTGTTTTCAGGGACCAATGGACAAGGACACCCAGCTCCCTCTGTACGCTAACATTTCTTGATTAATTACTATTTAAGTAATACTCTGCCATTCTGTTTCTCTTACTAAATTGGATAACTTCACATATGCACATGATACTGATCTGGCATGTATTTGTCTGTTCACTCAGCTTCTCTGAATTGCCTTGAGAGCTGTCTAGATCTTAATTGCCACTCAGAATCCCACCTAGCTTTATGTTGTCAGCAAGCTTGAATCAAATTTGCAATTCTATTCCATCATCTAAGTTGTTGATAAATCTTGTGAATATTTAGGGCCCAACACTGATTCCTACTATGTCCCACTTGTTACTGCCTTCCACTCCGCAAAAAACCCGTATATATCTGGAGACATAGAGTCACAGAGATGTACAACATGGAAACAGACCCTTTGGTCCAACTTGTCCGTTCCAACCTGATTTCCTAAATTAATCTAGTCCCATTTGGCTGATGTCCCTCCAAACCCACCTTATTCACATACCCATCCAGATGCCTTATGTTGTAATGGTACAAGCCTTCACCACTTCCTCTGGCAGTTCATTCTATACACACACCACCCTCTGCATGAAAAAGTTGCCCCTTAGGTCCCTTTTAAATCTTTCCCCTCTCACCTTAAACCTATGCCCTCTAGTTTTAGACTCCCCCACCCTGACTACTCACCCTATTCAGGCCCTTCATGATTAAGGTCACTCCTCAGCCTCCTATGCTCCAGAGAAAATAGCCGCACCCTACTCAGCCTCTTCCTATGGTTCAAACCCTCCAACCCTGGCAACATCCTTGTAAGTCTTTTCTGAACTCTTTCAAGTTTCACATCATTCTACCTGTAGTATGGAGACCAGAATTGAACACAGTATTCCAAAAGTGGCCTAACCAATGTTGTGGCTGTACAAGGTTTGACATATGATGAGAGATTGACTAGGTTGGGATTGTTTTCGCTGGAGTTCAGACAAACGAGGGAGGATCTCATAGAGACTTATAAAATTCTAACAGGACTGGACAGGGTAAATGCAGGGAAGATGTTCCCCATGGTGGGTGTGTCCAGAACCTGGAGTCATAGTATGAGGATTCGGAGTAGACAATTTAGGAAGGAGATGAGGAGACATTTATTCACCCAAAGAGTGGTGAGCCTGTGGAATTCATTACCACAGGATGTAGTTGATGCCAGAACATTGAATGTATTCTAGAGGTGGCTAGATATAGCACTTGGAGCAAATGGGATCAAAGGTTATGGGGAGAAAGCAGGATTAAGCTATTGAGTTGGATGATCAACCATGATCGTGATGAATGGCAGAGCACGCTCGAAGGGCTGAATGGCCACCTCCTGCTCCTATTGTCTGTGTTTCTATGGCATGATCTCCCAATCCTGTATTCAGTGTACTGACCAATAAAGGTAAGCGTGCCAAATGCCTTCTTCACTGCCTTGTCTACCTGCGACTCCACTTTGAAGGAGCTATGAACCTGCACTCCAAGGTCCCTTTGTTCAACAACGCTCCCCAGGATCCTTATCTTTAAGTGTACAAGTCCTGTCCTGATTTGCGCTACCAAAATGTACCACCTCACATTTATCCAGATTAAACTCCATCTGCCACTTCTTGGCTTATTGGCCCATCTGATCAAAGTCCCATTGTACTCTGAGGTATCCTCCTTTGCTGTCCACTACACCATCAATTTTGGTGTCACCCACAAATTTACCAACCATACCTTTCATATACAAATGATTTGGATGTGAATAGATGACAAAAAGCAGTGATCCCTGCACTGATCCCTGTGCAACATTGCTGGTCACAGGCCTCCAGTCCGAAAAGCAACTTTTCATCACCACTGTCAATCTCCTACCTTCTAGCCAATTTTGTATCCAAATGGCTAGTTCTCCCTGTAATCCAAGTGAGCTAATCTTATTAACCAATCTACCGTGCAGACCTTCACTGAACGCCTTACTGAAGTCCATAGAGACAACATCCTGCCTTCATTGATCCTCTACATCACTTCTTCAAAAAACTCAATAAAGTTAGTCAGACACAATTTCCCATTCACAAAAGCCATGTTGACTATCCCTCATCAGTTCTTGATTTTCCACATAAATGTACATCCTGTCGCTCAGAATCCCCTCTAACAACTTGTGTAAGGACGGGTAGCACCTGAATCAGAAGGGGACTGACATATTGGCAGGGTGATTTGCTAGAGCCACCTGGGAGGACTTAAACTAGTAGGGAATGTGTTGGGGGTTGGGGGGGAATCCAGAGAGATAGTGAGAAAAGGGATCAGTCTGAGGCTGGTGCAGTTGTGAAAAGGAGGAGATCAAATAGTCAAGGCAGGCAGGAGCAAAGCAGAGAATGAGGTGGGACTGATAAATTAAACTGCATTCATTTCAATACAAGAGGCCTAACAGGTAAGGCAGATGAATTCAGGGCATGGTTAGGAACATGGGACAAGGATATCGTAGCTGTTACAAAGACATGACTCAGGGATGGACAGAACTGGCAGCTTAATGTTCCAGGGTATATATGCTATAGGCAGTATAGAAAAGGGGACAAGAGAGGAGTGGGAGTGGTGTTTTTGATTAGGGATACATTACAGCTGTACTTAGGGAGGAGATTCCAGGGAGAACGTTCAATGAAGTTACTTGGATGGAACTCAGAAATAAGAAAGGGATGATCACTTTATTGGGATCGTACTATTGACCTTTCAACAGTCAGCTGGAAATTGAGAAGCTAATTTGTCAGGAGATTTCAGTTATCTGTAAGAATAACGGGGTGGTAATGGTAGGGCATTTTAAATTTCTAAATGTAACTGGGACGTCATAGTGTTAAGGGTTTGGATGGAGAGGAATTAGTTAAGTGTGTACAAGAAAATTTTCTTGTTCTATATATGGATGTACCTACTAGAGAAGGTGCAAAACTTGACCTACTCTTGGGGAAATAAGGCAGGGCAGGTGGGGGAGCACTTTGGGGCCAAAGATCATAATTCTATTAGTTTTAAAATAGTGATGGAAAAGCATAGACCTGATCTAAAAGTCAGAGCTCTAAATTGGAGGAGGGTCAAGCTTGACAATATTCAGCAAGAACTTTCATAAATTGATTGGGGGATGGATATTTGCAGGTAAAGGGACGGCTGAAAAGTGGGAAGCCTTCAAAAATGAGATAAGTCCAGGGAAACTGTGTCCCTGCTTGGGTGAAGGGCAAGGCGGGTAGATGTAGGGAATGCTGGATGACTAGAGAAGTTGAGGTTCTGGCCAAGAAAAAGGTTAGCATATGGCAGGTACAGATAACAGTGACTGAGTGAATTCCTCAGAATTATAATGGTAGTCGGGGTATACTTAAGAGGGAAATCAGGAGGGCAAAAAGGCACATGAGATAGCTTTGGCAAATAGGGTTAAAGAGAATCCTAAGGGTTTCTACAAATATATTAAGGGCAAAAGAGTAAGTAGGTTGAGAATCGGACCCCTTAAAGATCAGCAAGATCACCTACGTGTGTAATCGCAGGAGATGGGGGAGATACTAAACAAGTATTTTGCATCAGTGTCTACTGTGGAGAAGGATATGGAAGCTAGAGAAGTTGGGGAAATAAATAGTGATATCTTGAAAAGTGACCATATTACAGAGGACGAGGTACTGGACATCTTAAAATGCATAAAGGTGGAAAAAATTCCCTGGGACCGGATAAGGTCTACCCTAGAACTTTGTGGGAAGCTGTGGAAGTGATTGCTGGGTCCTTTTGCTGAGGTATTTGCATCATCGATGGCACGGGTGAGGTGCCGAAAGACTAGAGGTTGGCTAACGCGGTGCCACTATTTAAAAAAGGTGGTAAAGAAAATCCAGGGAATACAGACTGGTGAGAGCTAGTAGGAACTGCAGATGCTGGAGAATCTGAGATAACCAGGTGTAGAGCTGGATGAACACAGCAGGCCAAGCAGCATCAGAGGAGCAGGAAGGCTGACGTTCT